AACTTTGACTTCTTTCTTTGACTTTTTGATTTTGATTGGCTGCTGGTAGACTAATTAAGGAGAGTACTACCATAGTACCAGTCTCAACAAGAGTAAGCAGGTCACATGGGGCATGGAAGAGCCAATATATCAAACAATGTCAATAATCAGATAAAAATAAACCAAATACAGCTGAAATACAGACATCAACTCAGGAGTTTGTTAAGTGCTGTAGACGTAATCCCTGAAAAATGTTCAAGGTCCCAAACTGCTGAAGGCGGTGGTTCGATTAGACCGGAGCAAAGTCTCAGAGAGTGCAACCTTGGAGAGGAATTTGACCTTGGCTATTGTGTGTCTTTCTGTGAAACTTAAAATGTGTAAAATGTTTATCAAGAATTTTACTCCCCTCAGCAAAAAGAATGTAAAGATTAAAAGCAGTTTTTTATAATCTCTTGCTTCCAACAAGGTCTAGCATTTTTATAAAGCTATACATCTCAGTGTAACCCAAACCTAAATCAAAGTAGCAGCACAAACTAAAGATATCCACAAGGAAGTTAACATTAAGATATACAACCTGATAGCATTCCTTAAATTTATTAACAGGATAAATAAAATATCTATTATAGCCTAACAGTTAATTATATTCTCTTTTTAAAGGCTTTCAGTTGTCTGTTAATTATTCAATATCCTTTGAATTCCAGTTGAGGAAACAAGCAGCAAGAATATTACTAATATTTTAGTGGCCTTGCTGGCCTCTTACTGATGAGAAATATACAAACAACAGAGAAAATCTTGAAATATCATTTGTGTTTGTATGCCTTAAAACAGTTGAATTACTATGAAAAAGTTACACTAGGTGGCGCTTTTGCTCAAGCATTATAAGCATTATTTTCAATTGAAGGTTTTTCTTTTTATCACTTAAATCCAGCTAAAGCCTAGTCTAGTTTGAAGACTGAGATAGATTGAGATGTTTTTCTATTTTTCCAGTGTTAATAATACATAACCTCTGTACATTCCATTCTTTTTATACTTTATTTTGTTATTACTCTCTGTGTCCTCTCAGGTACACCTGCTTGCTACTACAAACAAGCCGCTCCTCTAAATAGCAAATCATTTGGCTGCAACTGAATACATGCAGAAAAAGGTTCACTCAAAATTTGACTAACCATTAGAATTGCTAAGATGCCTGATCTAAGCAACAAAGAATGTGCCATACGTGGTGGTTCCAGTAACCAGAGAATGCCCTGATTCACCAAAGCTAACAGGAAGGCCAGAAGTGCAAACAGAACAGCAATGTGCAGAAAGGTTTCTCTGAACACGCAACTCATCTACCCTTGAAGTGGTTCTGGAGGCAAAATTGGGTCCTACCCAGTACCAAATGAAGTCTCCACTGAAGGTATGTGCATTATTTTATTTGCACACCTTTAATCCTTCCAATAAGGCGTTAATGAACCGCACATGACTCACTCATTTTCAAATCTGAAAGGTATTTATACATTATGATAATACAAAGCTTAGGAACGTTTTTTTCATAGGATAACAAATATGCTGTGGATTCCGAATCAGAATCAGGTTTATTTGGCCAAGCATGCTTGCACATACAGGGAATTTGTCCCTGGTTGTCAGTAGCTCTCATACATACAGCAGATACATTCAAGACAAGACAAGACAATGGTCAAATACAGTCCAGTTAATATATATAATGTTGATTGTGTTACTGGTAAATGAACAGAAAGTGCAGGAGTGCATGACAGGCAAGGACTGCTGTTATAAATACAGTATGCACAAAACAATAAAAGTACAGTGAGTTCTCTACAGCAATGAGGTTTTGCTTATTAAGGGGATTGGGGGGGGGGGGGACTGTACATCTAATCCGAGGCAGCTGGGTCAGCTGTTCATACGAGTGATGGATTGTGGGAAGAAACTGTCCTTGTGTCCGTCTGTTTTGGCACATAATGATCTATAGCGCCTACCAGAGGGGAGAAGTTCAAAAAGGTTGTGAGCTGGGTGTGGGGGTCTGTGATCAATTTCCCTGCCCGTATCCTGACTCGGTATGAGTTTAGATCCTGGAGGGTGGGCGGGTCAACACCCATGATCTTTTCTGCACACTTGACTATTTGTTGTAGCCTGTTCATATATTTCTTAGTGCTTGATTTGAACCAGGCTGTGATGGACAAGCTGAGAACAGATTTGATAATTGCTGTGTAGATGCAGATCAGTAGCTCCAGTGGCAGGTTGAACTTCCTCAGCTGGCACAGGAAGTACATCCTCTGCTGGGCCTTGTGATGGAGATGGTCTCCCATTTCAGGTCCTGGGGGATTGCAGATCCTGAATACGATAAGGTTTCCACAACAGACACAGTGCTATTGAGCATGGGGAGGCAGGGCAGTGTTGGGGGGCTCTTCTTGAAGTCCTTGTAATCTCCACAGTTTTTAGTATATTCAGTTCCAGGCTGTTACAAGGCCACCAGAGGGCCAGCTGTTCTCATCTGCATGCAGTCTCTCACCATTACTGATGAGTCTAATACACTTATAATATACTGTGATTTAGAGCTTCTTTTGGGCTCCCTGCTTTACTCTCACTTGTTCTTTTGTCCCTTAGAAAGAAAAAAATAAACTTTCTTTTTTTTTCCTTCCTATTCAATTCAATTCAATAGGTTTATTTCACTTGGCATCTTTTCATTCATTATTACTTCACAAACAAACATCAAATAGAAACAGTCAAGTGAAAAAAATTATCTATCTATCTATCTATCTATCTATCTATCTATCTATCTATCCCTCTCTCTCCCTCAGTCTCACTCTCTCTCCTGCAGCCGGTTGTGGGTTAGTTACATCCCATTGCATTCCCTGCGTTCTTAGGAATTCTCATCTGTCAGTACTTGAGTGCTGTGTGTCTCTCCTCTATTTCAGTCTCTTTCTCTCCCTTTCTCCTTCTTTCCTTTAACCTCTTATCTTCTCAGCCCTCTTCTCTTGGATTTCTTTATTATTTATATAATTATATATATTTTCAACAACCATCTTCTTTATCTGTTTTAGAATAAATTTAAATTTAGGGTAGACTATACTATACTATAAATGATCTAATGTCATGTTTATTCTCAGGAAAAATTCTAATTTCTTAATCAATTAATTTACCAATCACATTTAACCAATCACATTTAGTTTTAAATGGTTAGTTACAGGACTAGGCCATGGTGTTACAACTTAGCAAACTTGAATTCTTGCTACAGTAAAATATTCAGGCTACCAATAACTGTAGAATAAACTGTAAAATAAAAGAAGATTCATAATTTAAAAAAAAAACAATGACTATGTAAATACCCCCAACAACAGTACTGCAATGTAGCACTTTTTGTAAGGCCCCACAAAAAAGCATTTCATATAATTCAAGGAGAACATTTATAAAGCATGACCTACTACCGAAAGCTACAACAAAGACTTCCAAAATTATTTCCCTTGTAGCCTAAAATAGTTTTATGACTATAAACTGTGCATTTGTGCTGAATTGTGATGATTTTCTGAACATTTTAGCCTGCTTTTATTATTTACTACCCAAGTGTGCCGAGTGTAAATATGTAGATTTCACACAATTGTGATAATTTCAATTCTTCAAACTGACCCAGATCATTAATACTGCAGCTGTGATCTTTTTTGTTTGCTGAATGGCAGTTTTCAGTATTTCTCTGTGCCTCCCGATATTACTCTCTCTCTTCCTCTTTCTTGACCCCATACGACCTCCCTCCATCCCCTCCCCTTTCTCGCTCATTGTCCGGTGAGCTCCATATTGCCGGCCTGACCTCACTGTTTCTCACGCTCCCGCTGTTCACCCTTCTCCCTCTCTCTCCAGTTCAAGTCATTTTCATTCTTTGTGGACAAAACAAAGTAGATAAAAGTCAATTTCAGCTATGAAAATCACATTTGTCAATCCAGATAGCAATTAATGGAGCATTTTCTTTTGAAATAGTGGAGTTAATTGGTTAATTTTGGCTGTCATTATAGAAAATTAATTTTTATTAATTCATGTAAATGTTATTTAATATGAGTATGTGTACATATGTATGTATATGTGTGCAGGAGTCTCTAGTCCTATACATTTCATAAAGAATTCGATGATTTATTATATGCACATTGTAGTGTGGATGTCATTGTGTGGGTGAGCAACATGAGTAAAAAGTACATGTTGTTCGTCTCCATGGCTGCAAAGCCAGCTGTGCTGCTGAATCACCAAGACATTGACAGATGGGTAGATGAGATAAGGGGGCTAAAAGGATAAAGATGAACCAAATCGGAACTGGGTATCTCGTGGTAGAAATAAGAAAAATATAAATAGGGAAAAAAGGGAAAATGGGAAAGCTGCAGAGGCAATAAACACAATTACAAGTATTCCTGTACCAATCTCATGGCGAACACTCTCGTCTGGCATGCCCAGATAAAGACACTGATAAGCACACAGCACACATTTGGAGTTGGAAGATTTGATTAATAGTGATCCTCCAAAACCCACATAAAACCCGCATGTATACACAGAAACAAGAGACAGCAGGATCACTACAACTGTAACAAACCAAATGCACGTAGTGCTCAGATTGTCTTAACTAGTGTGACTTACGGTGACCGAAAAAGCACGATGGATGTAGTCAAGAAAGGTAAATGAATATATGAAAATCATACTGGAAATTTTGGATATCTTTAATATTTTCAGTGTTTAATGATAATGTACCGTTTCTGAAAGTTACATTTTGCAAAAAGATGTCGTACTTACAATAGATAATTTTCCTTAAAGTATACCCAGTTTCATAACATTTCCAGTGCCTTTCTCGGATCCCTCCCCCTGCCTTTGACTGGTGCGAGAATCTGTCCATCACCTGAAGAGCATTTGAGAAATGAGTCAAAAGAACCGCCCTTCTTATAGGAAGGGCATTCTAGCCACGCCCCCTCGCGTATTGTTTCGGCATTTTAAACGTCAATCAAAGCTCCTCACTTCATCACCACTCCCCCTTTAAGCTTTCGCGGTGGTTTCCTTGCTTAAGATTGACAGTCAATAGTCGCTCGCGGTGGGGAGGTGTAATTCTACAGAAAGAAAACTTCTGAGGCAGTTATCTTCCTCAGTTTTCGAATCCGGTTACTACAGTTCCGTATGCTTTGGACGCCACGGGAAAAGAAGCAGGGAGGTCCGAGGAAGGAAATACACGTCGAAAAAGATAATATAGGAGGAATATTTATATTTAATGGCTGCTGGGGATGGTTCCCAGCTACCGGCGACTATAGCGGCCAGCCGGAGCGTGGAGAAAGCGCTCGAGGAGGCCGCCTCGAGCGGGGTTCTCAACCTGTCTAACCGCAAACTGAAGGAGTTTCCCCGAACCGCCAAGAACCACGACTTATCCGATATCACTCATGCAGGTGAGCGCCGTGTCACCTCACCGAAAAATGAGACGTCGTGTCTAGGTTTTTAGTTTAGTAGGTTGTATCGTATTTTCCTTATTTCCTTTGTTATATTGTGTAATATCCTGCGTTTTCTGACCTTCTCTGTCCTAATCGACGAATTTACTGGAAGAGTGGCGGTTAGTTTGTTAAATCCGCTCACATCTCACACTCATGGATACAGTTTGGTCCGAGTGGACCACTGTACTGAAGCTCCGGACCGCACCTTGCTGTTAGCTGAAGTTCGGAGTTGCGCACTCGCTTCTTGTGCGATACGCGGTGCATGTAGCAGGATGTCTAATGGAGGCGAACCTACTATTCAGCAGTCGCTTTTATGAGACTATTTTCTTTGTTCTTGTTACGTGCAATTTATTTTCGAGGTACATTTGGATTTCGGTATTAATTGCCTGCTAGGTGATGGGGCTGGGGTGGTGGGCAGTAGTTGGTTGTGCTTTTATTCAATTGAGCTGATGCGGTTTGATGAAGTGGGTAGAGCTGGCGATCCCTCTCATACAGTCGTGTAGTGTATGATCGTGGCCGTCTGCTTCCGTTTTGCTCTCCAAAAGATAACTTAGGATAATTTATAACCAGTTTTTATAGTAATCAGCGGCTTAGAGGAAATGCTGGGATAGCGGTTTTCTGTTCCAAAATGTTTGTTTGTCAATTAGTATAGTATATTAAGTCAACGTATTTAAATAGCGCTTCACTGACTGTTAATTTTCAACTTTATAGCTTTTCAGTGCTCACAGTTATCTGGATTTCAGTCTAACAATGAACTTCACCATGTGATGTCCTAAACGGCGAATATTCCCCGTTCAACAGTGTGTTATTTTAACCTTATTATAAGGTAACCTACAACGCCCCCGCCTCGTTGCACTGTAACGCATTTTTTCGTATGCTGAGCCAGTATATGTTGGCAACTTTTTTCAACGTAATTTCCCTGAGACAGAGAGAGCATATACTCAGATGTATGGTGATTTTTTTTGTTTTGTTTACCAGATCGGCTAAAATGAATGGTTATAGAATGCTTTAGGTATTTGGGTCATGGAACCTTAATTCCTTAATTCATAATTTAATTTTTGGTATCCCTTACCAACGCTCAATGCACAAGCAGAAAGACATTCCTGATGGTGTTGCTATTTTAAACATTTAAGGTGTGTCTGAGGATATTTATATATCATACAGCTGTTCCTTGAGTGTCTGTGTTAAATATTTAATTCAAGCAGTATATTTTACTTCAGGCCAATGAGAGGTGGAGTTTGCATGCATGTGTTTAGGGGAAATTAGTCCTTCTGTGGTCTTTCATGTGGAGTAGCTTTACACCTGGAAGGTCAGGGGTTCACGTCTCCCTCTGGGTGGACGCACTTCCAGCACTGGTACTGCTTTGTCCCCTCTCAAGCAAAAACACTGTAGAAACCATGAGTATCCACTAAATGATTAAAGCTTTCAGTCCCCGAGAGGATTATCTAAGAGGCAAGCTGCCATATTACAGTAGTACAGCTAGTAGTTGTTGCTGCTGGGAGAAAGGATGTGATATAAATAATTGTTGTATCCGCACACTCTTGTGACCCCCCAAGGCCTTAAGAGACAACGGCTTCTTGTTCTGAGTGGGAGAAGCAGAGGGAGGGGTAGCAGGGGAATAAGGAGGGTTTGGTCAAATAGGCCCTTTAGCTTTTAGGCTTTATTATCATTGCCATCTATTAAACATCTTGTTCTCGTGGCCCCATTTGTCTTTGTCCTGCTCAAGTGCCTCCAGTATAAACTGTCTGATGCTGGCCATGCTGTGCTAATACAGTCTTTATACCTTGTGCCCAGATCTTGAAAATTGCTGACTAACAAATCTAACTCTCAGATGCTAACAAATTAAAATGCTCAGCTGAATAGAAAAGGTCATTTTGATGCCAAATCCAATGCTTGAATTTGATGCCAAGATAATGTGATGTTGATGCCTGTGTGGTACATTATTTTATTAATAATAATATTTATTATTATTATCTATCCCAGGGTTCTCTGTGTGTGCATTTTACACATTCTCCACAGTTTTCTGCTGGCTACTCTGGCTTGCTCCTGTCTTGTTACAATGTAACTCTGTACATAATACGCATTTTTAACATGGATGCATAGTATAATTAGATGACTGGCTCATGGTTGTGGATTCATTTCTCACCTTTGGCTTTAATGCGGACTTCTTCACATTTTTGCTTGGGTTTCCTCTGGGAATTTTGGATTCCTCCCATGATTCAGATTTATAGATTTATGAAATTGAAAAATTTCAAATACCACAGTGTGATTTAATTTTTTATTTTTGTAATATTCATAAAGCAGGAAAGGAGTTGATAACTTACTCAATGTAAACTATAGTCCAAATTAAACTTGCTATTATCTACCAATAGAGTCTGTGAAATAAGTTTGTGGTGTTTCAGTGAGTTGTGCCAACACAAAGCAGTGTTGACAGATCACTTGCTTTTGGTAAATATTTTCATACAGCCAAAGGCAAATGCCTTTTGGTAACCAGTTATTTTCTCCTTCTTGCTCGTTTTTGCTATATTTCTCACAAATGCACCACACTGTCTATGAGTGAATCAGCAAAGACAGAAATGATTATGATTGACTTGGAGAGTGCATGCAGAGCTCATGCAACTGCAATAGTGGCAAACTTTTGACTGATTTTAACATATACTAGACACTCTTAAAAAGGACAGAGTAACATGTCTTAGCAAAATATATTAATGAGCCCAACTTGGCTTGGGAGGTATTACAGTAATATGGTATATTGCAGTATTTTGAATACCAGGGAGGTTGGGTGGGTTATTGCCAAGTTTTTGGGAATAGCATTGCTTTCGAAAATGCTGCCAAAGTACCATATTCTGTCGTATGACACTGGGATGGTGTGATGGTATAAATAATTAGGTACCACCCAATTATTATACATTGGTGTCTTTGCAATGTGTCATTTGCTTGTGCATAACGTGCAACCTAGATATTAACATCACCCATGTGCAGGCATAGTCCAGAATGCACATTTTTTATGGTGCTCATTATTTAGTTCATGGAATATTGTGCAAACTTCCAGATAATATTCTTTCAGTCTGTTAAACATTTTTGTATTGATTCTGTTTACATTCGTTTTTAAATACATTTTTAGGCTTTATTCCACATGTTTCTCTTTTATGTCTATTGCTGTGAGAGGATGCTGGTGTCAGAAAATGTTCTTTGTAGACTTGTGTGATTACAGTATGTCCACCTTGCTGATGGTGTGCAGCAATCTGTTTCCCCCGTCAATTGCTTCTCTTTAACATGGCGGATGTGGGTTTTTTTTTTTCCAGTTCTCTTGCACTTCTGCTTTTTCTGTTTATGATACATCCTCATCGTTCCTTTCTGTTATTGAATTCAATGCTGAAAAAGCCGGTTTCTCCTCAGAGGACAACAGATGGGAAAGAAGTGACTTGCTGGTCTTGGAGGAAAGGGGTGCATGCAGGTTCTGTGTCAGTCTACACTGAGTTGACTATATTCATTAAAATAAATGTATGCCAGAGGCAGAAGGCCACATTAGCTAAGGGTTTCCTCCAACTTGTAATAGGCATGGTGGTAGCATTGGATCAAATTGTGTACACTATTTTCTGCTTGCGCAGAATGCTGCAGCTGGAGTTTTAAGTAGTTTTATCTTATTAGTCCTGTTTTGTCATAGCTACATTGGCTTTCATTTATATTTTGTATTGATTTTTTTTCCCACCAGCTACTATTACTAACCTAAAGAACTCTGAATGGCCTTGCCCCAGAGTTCTTGTGCAATATCTTAGTTCATGCAACCCCTCTCGTTTCCTTTACTCTCAAAGGGTATCTGTTAGTTCCCAGAGTAGAATTCAATTCAATTCAAAAAACTTTATTTGTCCCTGAGGGGCAATTAAGGCACAGAGGGCAGAAAACGGGCTGCGTTGGGCTACATAGCTCTAAAGCTGGGGTCTCACACTCCAGTCCTGGAGGGCCGGAGCCCTGTGTATCTTCGTTCTTTCCCCCTTCCACCACAAATGATTCAGCTCAAGAGCTGTGTGGTAATTAGCACAAGGAGTTGAATCAGGTGTGTTAAATGAGGGTGAACCAAAAACTGTGTAGGGTTCCGGCCCTCCAGCACTGGAGTTTGAGACCCCTGATGTAAAGCGATGGAATAATCTTTCAGCAAATACGTGGGATTCAGTCTCACTCTCAACATAGGTTGGTCAGTCACCCCAACATAGCCTGTCACCATACACTATAAACCTAAGTGATGATCAGTGTCATTGATTTTTTTTTGGATGAACTGTACTGTGTGCTAACACTCTTGTTTTGCATGCAGCCTTGTGTCGTTGGAGTGCTGGTGTTCAGGGATTCCTCATGCCCCCCCGACACTGGGATAACTAGGCCTGCTGAAGCTTTTTAATTATGCTCATGCTGCTGTCTTCTATTGTTGCCTTTCTGTTCTACACTTGCTGATGCATTTATCTCCTCCACCCACCTAGTGAGAACCCCCCCCCCCCCCCCCCGGAAACCAGGGAGATCCCTGACTGCTCACCAGCCTGCCTGTGTTTCTGTTACCTGTTTGCTGTCTGTTACCTTACCTACCTGACCACCTGCCTGCCTGCTCCATAATGTGCCTCTCTACCTGTGTTGTCTCACTATCTGCTTGATTTTACTTTACCTTAAATGATGTAAACTTGTATTGCCCAGAGGAGACTGGAATCCCGCTTGAGTCTGGTTCCTCCCTCCTAGGGAGTTTTTCCCTGCAACTGTTAAATCTGGCTTATTCTCTGGGGATCCCAGACTCAGGACTTCGTAGAGTGCTTTGTGACTGAGGTCCTTGATAAAAACACTATTTATATTGATTTTAAAAGCCACAAATTCAAAAGGTGATTTTTTTTCATAAAGTGCAGTCTTATTTTAGACCAATATTGTCACGTTGAATTAAAATGTAATCAAAGCACATACAGTACTGTAATAAAATA